GGCCTCTGTAAATCCTACAGTGCATTTGGCAGGGTTTGCTGTAAGGCCAGCTCGCCTGAAGGTATCGAGGACTGCCTCCACCTTCTCCAGGTGGGTTACCCAGTCTGGGGTATGAATGACCACATCGTCCAAAAGTAGGCAGCAGCATAACTGTTATGCGGGCGTAATAGCTTGTCCATGAAGAGCTGGAAGATAGCTGGGGCCCCATGTAGTCCAAAAGGGAGGACAGTATATTGAAAAAGACCCTCTGGTGTAGAGAACGCAGTCTTTTCCTTTGCGTCTTCTGCAAGGGGAATCTGCAAGTAACCCTTTGTCAAGTCTAGGGTAATCAAGTACCGGGCATTACCCAGACGGTCCACTAGCTCATCTATGCGAGGTATGGGGTATGCGTCGAACTGGGATACTTCGTTTAGATGCCAGAAGTCGTTGCAAAATCTTGTGCTGCCATCAGGTTAGGGCACCAGCACGATTGGACTGGACCACTGACTGGGATTCTTCAATGATCCCCAACTCCAGCATTTTTTTTACTTCTGCTTTTATTTCCTCCCTTTTTGCTGCTGGCACCCGATAGGGCCTCATTGTTACTCTGGCCCCAGGGTTCGTGACGATGTGGTGATGTGTTTCGGTTGTTCAACCCGGTTTTGTCGAGAACACATCTTGGTTCCGGTCTGGTGTTAAATCAGGAGACACTCTCACCTGTTTGGAAGGCTTGTTTTCCTGGGTTGGGTCTTTTTGGACCATTGTGCATGCCAGGGTTTCAGAAGGTTAACGTGATAAATCTGTTCTTGTTTTCTGCGTCCTGGCTGCCGCATCTTGTAGGTTACTTCCCGCACGGGTTCAACCACCTCATAGGGCCCCTGCCATTGGGCCAGAAGCTTGCTTTCTGCCGTGTGTACCAACACCATAACCCGATCCCCTGGTTGGAACTGTTGCACTTTTGCCTGGCGATTGTAATGGGTTCGCTGGGCCTCCTGTGCCTTCTCCAAATGTTCCCGTACAATAGGGGTAACCCGGGCTATCCGGTCTCGCATTTGCATTACATGCTCTATTATATTTATCCCCTCAATGGGTTCCTCTTCCCAGATCTCTTTGGCGATATCTAGTATGCCACAGGGGTGACGCCCGTATAATAACTCGAAGGGGGAAAACCCAGTTGAGGCCTGTGGTACCTCCCGGATAGCGAACATAAGGTAGGGTAGTAGGGTGTCCCAATCCTTCCCATCCTGACTTACCATCTTCCTTATCATAGCCTTGAGGGTTCAGTTAAACCTTTCTACCAACCCATCAGTCTGCGGAAGTTCTCAGGGTATGTATATGGAGCAGCGTACAGAGGTCCTTCATTAGCTTCGACATAAATGGGGTTCCTTGGTCAGTTAATATCTCCTTCAGTAGCCACATTCGGGCAAAGATCCCCACCAGCTCTTTGACTATAGTTTCAGAGGCCGTGTTCCGCAGGGGGGCGGCTTCTGGGTAGCGAGTAACATAGTCCAAACCAACAAGTATATATTGGTGGCCCCGAGCCATCTTCTCCAGGGGTCCCACTAGGTCCATGGCTATTTGCTCGAAGGGGACCTCTATGATGGGAAGGGGTACTAAAGGTGCCCTCAAGTGGGGGCGGGGACTGTGCAGCTGACACTCCGGGCAGGAGGCACAGTAGCTCCGCAATTCTTCATGTACTCCGGGCCAGAAGCACCGTCGTAGGACTCATGCCAGGGTCTTCTCTACCCCTAAATGCCCCCCAAAAAGATGACTATGAGCAAGACTTAATACAGCGTTCTGGTGTTTTTGAGGTACTAGGATCTACTGTACCTTCTGCCCCTGTTCTGGTGCAACCCGGTATAAGAGATCCTTCTTTATTATGAAATAGGGTCCTGGTCCCTGGGTTTTTCCTTCCACGGGGACCCCATCTATTTCAGTCACCGCTTTCCTAATGTTGTTATACCTTGGGTTTTCTGCCTGGTCCCGTCCAAAATTTCCTCTCCCGGGGCTAATTTGCCCAAGATATAGGAGCCCAGTCTCTGTTGTCTCTACTGGTTCAGAAGCATTAGGGTGGGGGTCAGACTCAGGTGCTTCTCCCTCCTGCGTGGCCTCCTTTTCAGCTGCACGGGTCCGCCTACCTACAAGAACGACCCTCTGGCTTTGGATCAGTATTCGGGTTCCCAAGGCCTTAGCTGCCCTTCTTTCCCTTTTCGTCTTTCTACCCTGTCTGGGAGTGGAGAACAAATCTGGATATTTCAGAGACGATTGGGGGTTGACAGTCTGCTGTGGATGCCTCACCAATTTTAGGGTCCCCATCTTTCTCCAGTCCCCCTACTGGGAGTAAGTTTCCAAACCCTGGGAAGTCCCTCCCTATGAGCACCGGGTATGGGAGTTTAGGGACTACACCTGCTGCTACCTCAGTAGTGTTCCCTTGGATCTCGATTTTTACTGGGATGGTGGGGTAGTAACTAACTGTCCCATGGACACATGTACGTTTAGCCTGCAGCAGCTGACTACGCTTCACGAGCTTCCCTGAGATAAGTGTGATAGCACTCCCCGAATCAAGCAGTGCCATGGTCCCTACCCCATTTAGTTTCACATATACATATGTGGGGTTAGTGAGACCCCACAAGGTGGATTAGGGAGCATGGATCTGCCCAGTTCCCCAGGTTACACTGCATAGGCTCCTCAGCATTGGGACGCTGTGCAGCTACGTGTCCCCACTCCCCGCAGTCATAACATCTGTATGGAGTCCTAGGCGTTCCCCGGTCTCTTGGTTTGGGCAGTCTAACATCACAATCCTCTTCTCCCTCAGTGCTCCGACTCTTTGTGGCCTCTGATGGGCTTTCAGCCTCTCTCTTTTTCCACCTGGGCCCTCCTGGTGGCCCAGTCACCCGAACTTTAGGGCTTGGTGCTGCTAGTTTAACCTGGGGTGCCTCTTCCTTAACTGGTTGGGTCAGCTCCCTCGCTGTCCTTCGCCTCTCTACCAGGGTGACAACCTAGTCATAGGTGGAGGGTTTGTTCTGGCTTACCCAGGCACGAAGGTCTGGTGGTAGTCTCCTCATGTATAGGTCGATGACCAGAACCGCTAGTATCTCTTCCGGACTCTGGGACCCTGCAACCACTTTCGTGCGAGATGGATGAGGTCATACAATTGGGACCGCGGGGTTTTGTCTTCCTGGTACCTCCAACCGTGATACTGCTGGGCCCGCACTGCTGTCGTTACCCCAGATCTGGCCAGGATCTCTGCTTTCAGCTGGGGGTAGTCTGCCGCAGCCTCTTCAGGCAGATCATGGTAGGCCTTCTGGGCCTCCCCATACAGGAATGGGGCAAGGATGCCAGATCACTGATCTCGAGGCCAGGCCTCCCGTAGGGCTGTCCTCTCAAAGGCCAGAAGATATGCCTCTACATCATCCTCCCGTGTCATTTTCTGCAGCCAATGGCTGGCCCGTATGAGCCGCGTCCCATCCTGGCCGCGATTCAGCTCTGTAAGGGACTTTACCTGCTTTACCGGTTCCCGCAGCATAGCTCGGTCTTGCGCAGCCTGGTCCATCAGCAGGCGATTAGTCTCTTGCTAACATAATAGCTAGTCTGTTGGGAGGCTGCCTGGACACGGGTAGCCTCCTGCTGGGCCGCCGTAGCTTGTATCAGTGCCCGCACTACGTCATCCATTGTTGGGAAAAAAATAAACCTTTTTATTTGTTTTTTTTTTTAAATCACCTTCTTCCGCCGCGCTGCACCCCAAGATCCCACTCCTGACACCAGTGTGACAAAGTTCCTCCTCTATCTTGGTGGGTCCTGCGCTTATTGGCGGATTTTCTTGCCTCAGAGATTCACCACGTGGGTTGGGGAACAGCCCAGAGACCTTCCCCTCTGGAAGAACCCACAGTCCAGGTCAGTTGGGAGGTTTGGGGGGAACCCGGGCCCACCCTCTACTCCGGGTTCCAGCCCAGGGCCCTGTGGACTGCAACTGTCTATAGTGCCTCCTGTAACAGCTGCATGACAGCTACAACTCCCTAGGCTACTTCCCCATGGCCTTCTCCAAACACCTTCCTTATTCTCACCACAGGACCTTCCTCCTGGTGTCTGATAACACTTGTGCTCCTCAGTCCTCCAGCAGCACACCCTCTCACTCTCAGCTCCTTGCGCCTCTTGCTCCCAGCTCCTCACACTCGCACGACAAACTGAAGTGAGCTCCTTTTAAAACCCAGGATCCCTGATTAGCCTGCCTTAATTGATTCTAGCAGCTTCTTCTTAATTGGCTCCAGGTGTCCTAATTAGCCTGCCTGCCTTAACTGGTTCTAGCAGGTTCCTGATTACTCTAGTGCAGCCCCTGGTCTGATCACTCAGGGAACAGAAAACTACTTATCTAGTGACCAGTATATTTGCCCTCTACCAGACTCCTGTACCCCATTGGTCTGGGTCTGTCACACTACATATAATAAAAGACCTGGCCCTTCAAAGCTATATGGGCCCAGGCCAGCTTAAATTAAAAATGGAGTATTTCAGAAGGGCATTACTTTTCATTATGCAGTGCCACGGTTCCTCAGAGCCTGCTGATGCCTTGTAGTGATTGCTTGCCTTGGGTAGGGCAAACAGCCCACCTATGTCAACCCACATCCACTTCAATTCTCTACAAATTCTACCTGTTCCTGCCCAAATAAATAATCCCCTTTAATAGTTGTAGCTGCAGAAGACAGGGCCTCACGAAAAAGCAAAGGATATTCAGTGAACCTTGAACAAGTGAAGCTCAATGGTTTTGAGCTTGATTTAATACTCCATTCCAACATCCAACAAGGGGAAAAATTGATTATAATGCAACATATATGTCCCTGCAACTACACCCTTTGTATTTTGGCAATAATTTAGCCAAAGGAAGGGCTTTACATCTCATCCATCACTTTTAGTTGGAAGGGAATTGCCTAAATCCAAGTTTTTGCAGGGTGTGGTTGATACAGTGAGATGGTTGAATACACATGACCAAAGGCCACATGCCTCACAAATCAAAACAACCACAGATGTGCTGGGTCTCAAGAATTTTATTACACTCAAGAGTTTTCTGTTGTCTGAAGATAACCACAATCCCCTTTTCTTCACACACACAAAAAAAGAAAAGAAAAATATTCAAATCTATAGTAACAAAGCAAGAAGAAGAAATTAATAACTAATGGGGCTAAAGTCTCTTGTTTTAAGGCTTCCCCAAAGCAATCTCCAAAAACAAAACCAGGAGAGTCAGTCCACAAATATTTAGAACCTATTATATAGTAAAATACATTGGCAGGCAAGGCCTCAATTTCAACAAAGAAAAAAAAAACTAATGGTGCAGAATGCCTTTATACATTTAAAAATATGATATAATATAGCAGGCAAGTTAGAAAAAACATTCTTCATACGCCGTGAGTTTTCTGCAGACCGCCCTTTGTCCTACAGCTCTGTTTTGTCTGTTTGGGCAGGACTGGTGCTACTGCTGCCTTCTCCAGCATTGTTCTTATCTACAGGCTCGAACGATAATGAAGCAGAGTTTATGCAATATCTTTTGCCAGTTGGACGAGGCCCATCGTCAAAGATATGCCCCAGGTGAGCACCACACTGAAATAAAACAACAGAGTATCATTGTATTTCTATACAACTACATGGCACGGCAATGCTATTAATACTAATGTCTTAAGGTTACTCTATAGTGGGACAATGTTTACAACAGGAAACGAGATTGAACAATATCTTAGATATCTTTCATTAGCCTAACCCCTAGTCGATGTCTTTGTGGGCTGTACTGTGCATATGAGGGAACACAGAATAGCAGAACTGTACATATCCGAAATCATTCAGAAACAATCATATTTCAGATATGTTCAGATTTTGGCTAAATAATTGAAGCCAGGAATAATTTATAAATTGGATTGATGCTTACTTGCAAGGAATTTGTTACTTGCAAGGAATGTGAAAGTATATGTGCTGTCACCACAGAGAGAAGTATTGTTTTGGATGAGTGGATTTCAGATATGTATGATTGCATGGTAAAAGCCATGTTGCTGACTATAACAGAGGTAACATTCACTTTCCTTGACATAGAGAACATAACATTTGAAGAAGCTGATCCATTGAGCCATTACTGAAGAACTAGGACTGCTGTAGAGGCGCATGATGGGAGGAGAATTAGGTTAACAAACATCTTGAAACCAACAGCACGCTGTAATTAGCCACTCTGATTCTTTCTTATTTCTCTAACATGTCATGAGGAATAAAAAATAAAACCCTGAACTGTAGAAATATTCACTTTCAATGGGGAGTCATGCTGCTTTGCTAGGGCCCAATGCATCTCCCATTAAAGTAAATGGTTGATTCCAACATGAGTTGAAATCAGTGGAGTTACAGCGGTGTCACAGTTCAGAATCTATCCCTTAGTGGGCTAGCAGTCTGACAGACAGTCACCTAGCCAGACATCCAGATAACAGAAATTAAGGCAAAGAATTATTCTTTACACTTAATTCATTTCTAGCACAGTATCCAAAGCACATACCAGCAATACTGAGTATTCCTCACTGTGAATATTTATTCATGTTGGCTAAGTTCCTAGCAGCTCAGCATAATGGGGATAATTTTTTTCTCTCTTTGGTCCATTTTATTGCAGTGTCCTCCTCATGTTATAGTCCTTGATTCACCAAAGCACTTAAGCATGCACTTGGGCGTCGGTAAGAGCAGGCAGAGATCACTGCTGCAGGTTATACTCTCTTCATGCTTTCAAGGGGTATTTCACAATCGTGAGAGCTAGAAAAAACTCCCCCTCCCCCCAAAAAAACAAAAACTGAAATTCTTACTAGAGCTGGGCAGGAAACTGCTTTCCCATCCACCCCTTAAATATTTTCCAGATTTTGAAAAAAAAAAAATTAGCACCTCAAATTGGGACAAAAAGTCCAAATCTCAAACATATTCACAAACATGTTTGACAAAAAAGTTTTATTGAAAAATTCCCCAGCTGCTCGAATTCTGATCAACACAAGACTATAGGAGCAGGGGTCCTATGCATGTGCATAACCCAGTGCTGGATAAAGACAGTCCTTACCATGAAGAGTTTAAAGTTTAAGACTCCAATCCTGCAATCAGATCTGTGTGGGTGGATCGCTGAGAGTGGCAGGCTCCAGCTGTGGTATTGGGGATGGCACCATTAAGGTCCCAGACAGTTTTGGAAGGGCTCTGTGAAACTCTTGTTGTTATGTACAGCCAGTTGGAATCAACCACAGAAAAATGCAGAGCTCTTGCAAACACGCATTGAGCAATCACTGAAAACCACACCAGGTTCATGAGGGCAGCTACATGATAAAGCCCTTCTGCCCTGGAAAGACAGCGGAAATGGCAGTGGTAGCTCAGTGGAAACACACCATTAGCCAATGAGACTGCTTCCACCCTGTGACATCATCAGGAAGTGCTCTCAGTAGCTGCTATTATGCAAATGAGTGTTGGGAAAGCGCAGGAATGACTTTTGGGTAGGTGGTTAAGGAAGTGGTTAACAGCATTGGTAAGGCTGGGGACAATACAACTACCTACAATTTTTTTTCAGGAGGGGGAAAAACAAAGGAGGTAATGAGGGTTAAATGAAAAAATAAAAGCATAATATAAACAAAGATGATGCTTTAAAATAATACAACTAACAAGTCTGATGTCATTCATGACTGATCACTTGCTTGTATCCCTCTTTCCTAGCCCTGATCCCTTTTGTCCTTTGAGTTTGTAAGTTTTTTGAAGCAGGGATTGTCCTCATCTTATTGTTTATTACAGCATGTGGGCTAGCATAATGAGGATCTTGTTCTGATTGGGGCCATTGGACATTACCATAATACAAAGAATAAATCATCATAATTTAGTTTCCCAAAGTATTTGTACAAATCCAAAATATGGCAATTAATCTTCTTGACTGAGAAAGTTTTCAAACCTCATGGCTCAATAGCAAAGTCTTTTCCACATTAACATTTACCAAAAGATTATTTATAAATCACTCATTCTCCAATGTAAAGGAACAGAGGAAGAGAAATTACACAGAGGAGCAGATTTCAGGAAACACTGGCACACAAATTTATGGACTACCAAGTCAACCGATCACAACAGAACTCCTTGGCAAGGAATTCTAAAGCCTCAACATGGTTAGAGGCGGTTTCATTATATTTTTCTGTGGTAGCAGAGTCACACCAGGATTGGATTACTGAGAAATCTGTTATATTTTGTGACATTGTCTCTCCCTAAAATTTACATATAGATTCCATGTACACATGTGCTAATACTCATGTGCAATGAAAATAACTCAAATTCAATTGTTTGCACCAGAAAGGAATTGTTCTGGTTGTCATTTGAGAGTATGAAAGACGTGCTGTCCCTACACGACATACAACATTTCACCCATCAAGGGTGCGGACTATTTTTCTTTGGTGACTGTTGAAGTTGGTAAAGCCTCTCCATGAAAATCATCCTATGCTGGTTCATATATTGGGCAGAACGTGGCAAGATGATAGAATACCAAGTGTAACTCATGTCTTTGGCAGATTGGGACCATAGCTGACCACAGCCAAGTGTCAGCATGGTTGGGTCTCTCTGGGCTCCTGGTTCTCATTGGTTGCCATAATCTGAAGAAAGCCCTGTGCAATCGGCTGCTAATGATTTATTCAGAGCATATCAATGTGCAACCAATCTTTCTGAGATTAAAGAATTTTATTGGTTTTTACAGGTACAACATAATAGCTAGAGAGACCCTAGGGGGAAGGACCCCCTGCACAGGAAAGGAAAAGAAAGGAGACAGAATGTGCAACCAATTTAATATTATTCCCTAAATGGGCCTGCAATTAACGTTTACCTGTCACAAGTATCTGACATTATACGTATTTCCAGGATGAAGTGTTTCTAACAGAACTGTAAAAATTGTTTCTCAGATAATCCCAGGGATGCTTTTGTTTTATATTAAGCTGACCCTACCCCCCCCCCCCCCGCCAGTGTTTGATCTCTAAATTGAAGAACATTTTAAAGAGAGAGGCTTTTACACAGGAGCAAACAGATGGAGGGACATTTACAGAAAAATCAACTTACTTTTTCATCTGCAAGAGATTAATACAGTTTGGAGCATGGGGGATGGGGAGTGTTTACCAAGAACTGCACTGCAGTAAAATTGTGGTCTTTTTTGCTGCTGGAAACATGATTCACATTCTTAGGATCCAGGGGAGGGGAGGAAATGGCTGCGTTATGGGTACACTATATGGGGGTGTTAATTGTCCCTTAGAGCGGCTGCAAATTGTTCCCCACCCCCAGGCTATCATCCTGTGTGATCTGCCCCACCTGCTGGGCCAAGAACACGGGTTCCACTGGTGGGAAGCCACTGATGGGAAGCTGCCGTTGGACTTTGCTGTGGGGTTTAGCCTCATATTTTCCTACACTATTTATTCGGGTTTTGGTGTGTTTTAAATTGGTGTGTGCCTTGCTAATGCCATTCTGTGAAGTCTGCTAGTTCTAGTTTCTCTGAAGCCAGGTAAACAATGTTCTCAGATTCCTCCACCCCAACCACACACTGAATTCATCTGAATGGAGCCCAAAGCAAAAACTTTGGGTTCTCTGGAAGGGAGTTGTCATACTCCAACCCATATGTTGGCCACAGGCTTCATTTGACAGTGCTCACATCCTGCCAGCTGGTACTGAGTAAGCTGCATTTTCAAGTAATCACTGAATAAAGGAGAGATTCCCAAATTCTGGTCCCACAGAGACCTTGCTAGTGGCTCACAGAGAGCTGCCTGCTCAGATGACGCTGGCTTTCCTCCTCATTTTCTGCTAAGAGAAACAGAACAGATGGAACGATGATACAAAGGAAGATTTTTGTAGATCCAGAAGAGGGCAATTAGATCTCTAGGAGGGACACAGGTGAGTTATGCATCACGTGAAAGTATTTTATTTGATCCTGCTTTCAATTTGCAGCCCTGTGTTTGTATTATGAGAGAAGTAGACATTACTCTCTTTACTATTCATTATTTGACATATCTCCACTATGTCACCTCTTATTTTTTCTCTATACTAATACAAGTAAGCTCTGATAAGATGAAGATCTCAGAGGAATGCTTGAAAAAGAACAGTTACTATTTTGATATGAACATTAGATACATGGCCAGATATGAATTTCAGATAACAAAGATATTCAGATATTAGGGGCTGGTAAACACAACCCTAATAATTTTTAGTGTCTCCTCATCTGGAAATTTTTCCATGCCTTTAATTTAATTTCATTGCTTTTCCATGGATTTTTTCTATTTGTACTACATCCTTTTCGAGACAGCATGACCCAACATGAACAGTGTTCTATGTGAGGCCATATCTGTGATTTATAGAATGGCATTATAATGTTTGCAGTATTATTCTTTATACCTGAATACTCTCTAACATCTCGGTTGCTTTTCTAACCACCAAAATCCATTGATCAAATCTTTTCACTGAGCTGTCCACAATAAAGTCCACGTCTTTTTCCTGAGTGGTTTCAGTTAATTTAGAACCCATGAATGTGTATGAGTAGGGACTTGTCTACATGGCGCCAGCAAAGCTCCCTAGAGAGTTGTGATTTGTACAGTGTTCTAACATGTTATGCACTAACTGCCCCTGTAGACCCAGCTGGGACACTCTTTCAGGTACCTGGTTCGCGTTGATATAGTCCTGTTTCAGACTTTTAGAACAAGGTATACACAGGGCAGTTGGAGAGCATGTTATTGCACTTTACAAATTGCAACCCTCTGGCATGCTTTGCTCTGCCGTGTAGACAAGCCTTGTTAAAATCGTTCCTTCCAAAGCACACGTTAATATTCAACTGAAAAAATGTGAGGTATCTGCCATTGTATTATGGAACTGTTAAATCATTGTTAAATAGCACCAGTTACCAGCTGGACAGGGTCCTAAGCACAGATTGTGACACAAAGTATTCTCAATACTTCTAGTACTTCAAAGAGCAGCACTGTCCTAAACTCTGCCAGGGAAGAACTAGTCCTTGTTCCCTCCACACATTGCCCAGCATGCATGGAAGGGGAGATTACTTACCTGTAACTGGAGGTTCTTCAAGATGTGTGGTCCCTATCTATATTCCACTAAGGGTGATGAGCATGTGCCCTGCGCCCAGAGCTGGAACTTTTCAAAGTAGAAATGTCCGGCGGGCCATGCATGCACCCTTGCACTGCCTTATGGTTTTTCCCGAGGCAATGAAGGATGGGGTGGACTGACCACGTCTTCGGATCTTTTCTACCACGAATCTACCAGATCTGCAGCAGAGGGGAAGGAGTGTGGGATTGGAACACAGCCAGGGACCACACATCTCGAAGAACCTCCAGTTACAGGTAAGTAACCTCCCCTTCTTCTTCGAGTGATAGTCCCTATTGTATTCAACTGAAGGTGAGTAACAAGCAGTACCTAGCTAGGTGCGAGGAAGATGCTGGAACTGGGAACGAAGGACCACTGCAACAAACAAGGTGTCCCTTGCAGAACCATGCACTAGAGCATAATGAGAAGAAAAGGCGTGTACCAAACTCCATGTGGCTGCCTTACATATGTCCACAAGTGGTACGTTGTGGAGTGCGGCGGAATTTGATGCTTGCGCTCTCTTGGAATGGGCCCGTATCCCACTTGGTGGGGACCATCTCAATAACTGATAGCAGAGCATAATGCACCCTCAGACCCACTTCGAGATTCTCAGGGTGGAAATGGCCTGCCCTTTTTCTCTGCTAAAACAACAAATAATCTGGGAGACTTCCAGAATGGCTTCATTCTTTGTAGATAAAATGCCAGGGCCCTACGTACATTGAGGGAGTGAAGCTGACATTTCTCAGTTGATATGGTGGTGTGCAGTTTGGGAAAGAAAGTGGGCAAATGTAGGGTTGGAAGAGGTGGAAGCGAGAAACCACTTTTGGTAGAAATTTGGGATGCAGGTGCAGTGAAACTTTGTCCTTATGGAATGCGGTGAAACGAAGGTTTGCCTTCATGGCCCCCAGTTTGCCAACCCTCCTTGCAGATGTAATAGTAACCAGGAAAGCGACCTTCATGGAAAGAAGAGAAAGGGAGCAGAAGGCCAGAGGTTCAAAGGGAGAGTTCATTAATGACATAAGCACTAGATTGAGGTCCCATTGGGGAGAGTTAGGCTGAATGGGCAGGTATTTATTTACAAGGCTCTTCCAGAATTGGGTAGTCAAAGGAGGGGTAAAAACTGAATGCTCCTCAACGGGAGGGTGGAAAGCGCTAATAGCCACTGCGTGCACCCGGATGGAGTTGAGAGCAAGACCTGAGGCCTTCAGATAGAGGAAATAGTCTAAGAGCTTTGGGATGTCCACAGCTTTGGGGGAAAGACCTTGCTCTTGGGCCCAGGAAGCGAAATGCACCCATTTGGCTTGGTAGGATCATCTTGTGGAGTCCTTACTGCTACTGGAAAGGACATCCTCTACTGCCAACAAACACTCCCATGCTAGCGGAGGTGTCCATCCAAAAACCAAGCTCTCAGGTGAAGCATCTGTGGATCAGGGTGCCTGAGTCTGCCATTGTGTTGTGTGAACAGTTCCAGAAACATCAGGAGCAGGAGTGGAGGATGCTTTGATATGCAGAGAAAAATAGGAAACCAGAACTAGCGAGGCCAGAATGGAGCAATCAGGATGACAATCACCATCTCCCATTGGAGTCTGTGAAGGATGCACAGCAAGAGTGGGGAGGAAAGGAGTGGTTGATCTGGTCCAACCAGTCGATGACTCATTCACAGGGAAATGAGTGCTCCCCTTGAGCAGTACTGAATGTACTTGATGTTGGCATGAGATGCAAAGAGGTCCCTGATCAGAATTCCCCAGTGCCCAAAAATGTCCACGATTACCATGTCATGCAACTCCCATTTATGGTCAGCTGCAAAGTTCCTGCTGAGAGCATCGGCAATCACATTCTGGGTTCCTGGCAGGCAGGCTGCCGACAAATGGATACGATGTGCAATGCAACATTTCCGAAAGTATACTGCTTGCGCACGCAGCACTGGGGACTTTGTACCTCCTTGCTTGTGTATGATGTTGTCCGACATGACAAGAATGGATAGCTGGTAAAAACGCGTGGCATGCCTTGCATACTGCCCGAAGTTCCAGGATAGCAATATGAATCCTGACTTCCTGAGAGGTCCAAGTGCCTTGGGTCACATGATCTCCCACGTGGGCACCCCAGCCATTGAGCGATGTGTCTGTTATGATTGTCTTGCACGGCGAGGACAGAAGAAAGGGCATTCTGGAGCAAACTTGGAACAGTTCATGAGGCCAAGGAGCAATTCCGAGTCTCCCCAGAGTCAATAGCCGGCAGTCTATGGATGGAACTGGGGCTCGTAAGGGGAGTTGTCTCATGACCCACGAATCACGAGATGTCAGCTGGGCCAATGCAGGAGGAGCATGTGGTGCTGGAACCGGGACCGGCAGATTCGATGAGCGATCCAACTTCTTGTCGCTCTTGTGGGCCTTGGAAGGCGGCATTCCTCTGTGGCCGGAACTCATGGATGGTGTGACATCTTTCTTGGATCTAAAGGAAGACTTACTGCCATGCTTATGTGCATGCTTCCAAGACTCATGGCTAGGCCCCAGCATGGGGTCTATAGCACTGGTACTGGCAGAGCCGGACTGAGGCTCCGAGGTAGGAGGCACTCTTGGATTGTGGGGGGGGGAATGGGGGTTACCCAGCCAGGATCTGACTGAGGCCCCCTGGCAATGTCCACGAGCTGCTTCTTAAGACAGAGGGCTTGGTCTTCCCATGTATGGGCAAGGAAGTTAGAGGCAGATACTTCACCTGGATGCGGCACAGGCTTCCCCCAAGCAGTACAGACAGCACTGGTGCTTGTCGCTGAGCGAAAACGAGCAAGGGCAGGAAGCCAAATTTTGAATCCTGGCATATTTGGCACAATCCAGTACCCCACATGGGTTTTAAAATACAAATTGTCAACATCACATTTCAAAATATGCAAACTAAATATCCTTAAATCAAACTCTAAGTTCTCATGCACACTTTTTCCCCCCACTTTGGCTATCTGTAAATTTCAATTATTGATGGAAATATTTTTTCATTGCTTTGTGTGTATAGAAGGAAATCAACTTTTACCAACATTTACTGATAAAAAATAAAATCCTTCCAAGTCTATTTATATTTATCATTTAGTTCCACAAAGCAATTCAGTAAAGTGAAGATTATAAGCTCATAAGGTTCCTCAGTTTATTATGAAATAAAAACAACACAGCCCGAGTTCCTTTAATATTGAGCAATATCTTTTTATGCAGTAAATTTTCCTGCAAGGTGTTAAAATTCTTTTGTAATCAGAGGTCATAGTAGAGCTTCTGAGATTCCTAAAACACGTACAGCACAGCTACCAAAAATGTGTTAAATGGTTTTCTTGCAGCATGTTACCTAGATAAGAATAATACCATTTCTCCAATTATATTAGTAGATATTTCCCTTCAGACTGATTCAGGCACTGGCATGTTGGGCCCCATACTGCACACACTGAAGTTAACTGAAATTTTGCCATTGACTTCAGTGGGAGCAGAAATGGCCCCAGAAGAACACAACACCATTTCAGAGAGCCTCTTTCTTAACATGCTCTAAGCATTCCTGTATGAGCACAGAATAATCAGGATATATTTCAGCAATGCTGAAATCGGTTATCCCAGCCTTGGTCCTGTCTGGAAACAAAAAGGCAGATTTATACAGCATGGATGAAGCTGTTGCAGTCTCACCAGAAGGAATTTGAGGATTTAGAACTGGATGGTTGAGAGTTGCTGGGTGTTTTTGTAACATGTCAAGTCAGCAGTTCCCCTCCCTTCTAGATAATGATTATGCCATTCACTTCACAGAAAGCTGGGCATCATAATGGATGAAAGCAAGTAGAACAAGACAGATAATGGAAAGTTGGGAGCATCTGGCATTATTATTGAGTTCATTATTATGGCAGATGGGATTACTTGATTTGGTCATTAAGACTGACCTGGGAATGGGGCTTGGATTTCAGTTAGTGCTGCTCTTCAGTAATGCACAGTGATGGTATCAGCACACAAATAGTCGCTACAACGCTTCCAATCTCTATCAAAACCATTCACACATGGAGGTAGAAAAGCGGGGCTCAGGGATGAGCATTGAAGGGATTCCTTTCAACAAGACAATTTCTGTATACTTGGCACCACTGATTCAAGCCATTTATGTATGCTCTGTTAAACAGTGCTTAAGAACACTCTCATTAGCACTTTGTACTTTCACTCGGACCATTTGTCTGTCACTTGCAATCCACCATGCGATATTAAGATTATTAGTATTTAATGAACGAAAAGCTTTGTAAATCACAGTGAGAGGGTAAGGTGCTGTAACAATATTTGCAGCCTTTACAATCAGAATGGTCTGGGTGTGCTGTACACTGACCTGACTGCAGCCTGTTTCAATCCTGTGCATCCCATAAGAGAAGTCATCGGTGAACATAATTGCATCAGGACTGATCACATCATAGAATGAAGGCCAACCTGGAAAAGAGGAATAAGAGAAATCAAGAGTTGCAGTATCTTTGTGTCAGATCTCGTTACCAACAAATTATAGACTATGGGGAACGCTGTCAAAAGCACCTACGTGACTTAGGAGCCTAAGTCCCATTTTCAAAAACACCATGTACAATTATAATAAATTATTCACATTTAGGCCCTCTCAGAGAACAAGCTGCCAGCAGCTGCCTTTCTTCTGCATCTGCAGAGCTCCCTGGCATGCACCGCCACTGACAGCAACTGCGGCAGTCTAGCCCAGGTAAAGAGATGGGTGCTCTGGTAACCCAGACACAGATTCCAACCATGTAAGGCTTTGAAGATCAGTAAAAAAATACTTTGAGTTCCACCCACCTACCAAAGGCAACCACACTAGCTCATGGGATGCACGTGTTACGTGCTCCCAGTGGAAAGCCCCACTTACTAAAGGGCTCCGGAATTCTGGAATAGCTCAGCTTCCGCATGGTCTCAGGTGCAGCCTCAAGTAGAAAGCATTAAGGTGGTGTAATCTCAGAGCGACAAAGGCATGGATAAGCATAAGGCCTGCATCCAAAACAAAAGACCTCACTTCACTTTGCCATGCACCGATGGAAACACGTGCTCTTCAACACAGCTGCTATCCGAGCCTTCCATAGCAGCCTCAGGTACAATATATTGTGACCCTTATTTACAATCCATGGCTGCACATCACCATCTGAAGAATAACTATTCGCTCCCTAGTCTCCCCCTATCTACCAACACAGGGACTGGAGAACCCAAGCCCCTGCAACTACAGCGTCCCAGCAGATTCCCCTCACACAGCCTGATTAGTTCACCTAAAAAGCAATCGAAGGGCTGTATTGCCTACAGCTTGGCTTCCACATGAGAATCTACTTGAAAGATTTTAAAGGTCACTTAAAAATCCATTCCATACCCACCTCATCACCACCAGATACCTGCCCCTCTCCTGCAATCCCCTAAAGTCACTCACCCACACACACACACACACACACACACACACACACACACACACACACACACACACACACACACACACACACTCTA